TGAAAGAAAGCATAAAGGAAGAAGGAGTACAGAGGATAAGGAGCAACAGCCAGTTGTATCTTGGTACATGCGCTCTTAGTAGGTATCATATAGCTTTAGGTACCTAAGGTCACAGCTCAACCTTCTAGTCATATGAAATACAGTAAAATAACCCATAGAAGAGGAAGGTATTGATAACGAGCTTTGTACCAAAATCCTTTCCTCCACTCATAAGGTTTCTTTCCTACATACTAAGAACCTCTACAGTTTACTCACCTTCTGTACAGAAAGTTCATTTTAGGTGTTTCTGTAGATAGATTTCTCACAGAAGTCTTTGTTGAGTTGAACTGTCTCTGGCCAAAATGGAAACATTCCAGCAGCAATAATAAACTATCGACATATCAGTTTGGGAAATGGGAGGATATCATCTATGTGTTCAATGTCTCATAGCAAGGGTCCTTTAAAAGTTCATGAGGATAGGTACAGTGGGAAAACTAAAGTTTATTCTTTCTTACCCATCTTTACCTGAGACAGTTGGTTCTAGGGGAACTTGAATCCAATGCCAGGCTGCAACTGCTCCTAATTGCTTAGCATCAGGTAAACTGAATGGCTTGCTGCAAGATTTATAGCTGAACTGAACCCAGTTCTTAGTTATCGGTAAAGTCATGACAAAGGACACAAAAATCACGATCTGTGTCTGTAAAAAACTGATTTACCAACAATGTTGGAGAAGTAGGAAGCTTGATTTTCAGAGTCTTATTTTTGTTCACATGAACCCAGAAGACAAAGTATCTGCTCCCTACAAACAGACTAAGTCTACTGCATACTTAAGTCCTTCAGGATTTATTGAAATCACAGAATTTCCGAAAGCTAAATAGCAGAATAGAATCAACATTATGGCAAGAAAAATATATGCCTTACTAGAATAAAACTATTTCAGTCCTTTCATAGCTAACCCTAGCAATCCTGAGAGCATCAGATCACATAACCTCTTCAGAGGTATACGGAAAAGAATACAACTACAACCGTTTGGGTATGTATCTACCCCCATGCTTTTTACAGCAAAGGTCTGTACTGTCTGAGGGCTAACAAAGGCTGGGATGCTTCCAAAGGCAAACTGTTTATTCAGAGGCAGATCTGATCAAGGCTCATGTTTTCCAAAAAGCTGCTAGCTTACTTAGGCTCTTTTAAAAATCCTTTTCCCAGAGCTCATCCAGTGGGTGTTTGGGCTGCATATTTTAAGCAGCAGAAAACTGCCAAGTCAAAAGCAAAGAATTTGTTTCTAAGAGAAGGAAGGAAAAGACAAAGAACAAAAGTTAACACTGCAGATTATTGCAAGCTTCAGAGAGAATAAAACAATTGTTTTAACGAGAGCTAAAAATACTTCCTTCTAAGAGTGCTTGCTGTTCTGCCAAAGGCATGCAATACACTTGAGAAAAATGTTTGCAGAATCCAAATATTTATAATACTACAAAGAAGCAGTCCCTGCTTTACAAATTTATTATAGCTAGTTAAGTTGGAACTACATTTTTCATAATACAGACAAAAGATTATCAACCACAGACAGAAGTGAATATTGGTTTTGTTTCCACCTTAATGTTAAAACAGGAAAAAACCCAGCAAATGTTTTCTCAGGATCACCTGACACTTACCTTTGTGTAACTATCAATAGAATTATAAGACAAAATACAATTTTGCTTTCTAACCTTCTCTTTGCTATATGACAGAAGTGAGTTGTACTAGAATGCACTCTGAAAAAAAGGAACAGAAGCAACGTACAAATAAATACGAAGTCACCTGGCCTCACTGGAAGCTTTACAAATGTTTGTTCTCTATCCTGAAAAATCTCAGCTCAACTCAAAATTCAATACAACTCTTCACTTGTAGTCCAAGGGAACAGAGAAAGCAAAACATTTATAATGATCAAACTTCAGAGAAACTTTTATAGAAAGTGTCATTTCCTTTGTTAATTACAAGCATTGGAAAATCTTACTTTTTTAAGGGAAAAAAAACCCCAAAACATAGAGAAGTGATTTAAAGTCATTAATAGAATGATTTCACTTTTGAATATCCAAGTTTTCTTGCCATATTTAGCTGATGCCGAAACAGTGTCTGCAGCAACATCAACAGTCCGGCTGTGAGGCTGCCAATACTGGCTCCAACTTTGAAAAGCACTTTTTTTAAGTCTTTTTTTAAACTTTTCCCCTTCTAAAGACAAATCAGCAGACAAGAGTCAACTGCTTTGCACAACTGTCAGACAAAGGAATCAACGATTTTATTTTGTAGCACAGTTGCTATTTGCATATTAACCTAGCAAGAATTTAATGTAACATGTTATAGTATTTGCAACATTGGAGCAACAACTTGTTCTGCAATCGTGAATTGACAGCTCCTGCATTTAATTCATTTTTTTAATCGCTGTCCTCTGTTGTAAGCCAAGAAAGAAAACCAAAAAATTATACAAGACTGTGCTGGCCACACATGTGTCAAAAAAATCTCGCCTTCAAATAAGGTCCAAAACTGAGACAGATTATATTAGGTTTTCAAAAAGCTTCTTAATACTCTCAAAAACCCAGTTTGCACAGTTTGTTAAATTACAGTAGGCAAAATTTGCTTTCAGTAAGAAAATGGTAAAGCAGCAAAAGTCAAAAAAGAGCATTAGAAGTGCTGAAAGCATTTATACTATCTATGCTACTTGATTCATTAGTTGCAACTTCAGTTCCTCCTCCTGAACATCTCCCTTCTCTCCATGCTGATGAAAAGATGGAACAGAGCAAGACAAACTCTTGGTGCTACAAGCTGGTTCTATGAACTGATGGTGCTTGACTCATGCCGCAGTCACCAACAGTGGGTCTGCTGGAGATGTGTTTCTCTTCCCTAAGAGGAAAAGTGAGCTATAATGATTATTAAAGACCAACAGATGACAGTGTTTGGTTCATCTGCAATAGCAGCTGCCTCCCTCCTTCTCTTCCCGTAGGTATCAACAAAAAATACCTGCACTTGCCATCCTCCTCTCCGATATATCCTCCATACCTACCCATCTAAGTTCCTCCCTTTGTATCAATCCATTTAAAAAAAAGAAAAAGGGGGGGGGATGGGACGGGGAGAAACTAACAGATCATTTCTGACTGTAAATTATGGCCCAACCTTCAGCCTATCTTGTGCAGTTAAATGTTAAACACATTAGGGTGGGACTTTGTGTGTTACTCTCCGCAACACACATCAGAATACTGCCCTTAGCTGACAGCTGTAACAAACGCAAGGCAAACACATTATCAGACTTCACAGATTTTGTCATAGTACAGGAAGAATGAACAGTCAAGACAGCATCCATGAAATTGCATGTAGTTCAAATGTCAGCTCTGTCACATATCAGAACACAACAGGGCCAATTCACATTCATCTCAGGACTGTCCTACACACCAGAAACTGGTTTCTTAAATCAAGACGAAGTAGCAAAAGAGGATATAACAAAGTTTCTGCTGCCCTTCAACATCTATTTAAACTCACCTTACAGGGCTCCAAAAATGCTTAACTTGCTTCTTTATGGTAGTAGTAACTTTAAAATGCTTATGATGTACCACTATGCCATCAATCCTGGAAGACACAATCTTAAGATTTGTCTTGCTAAGTCTGGAGCTTTAAAGATATGTAAAAGACATTATCATAGCACAAAGCAAGCCCCAAAACAAGTATTATCACACTCTAAATCTAGAACATGATCAATGTGAACAAATACGTTATTGCACACTGCATATAAATCTACTAAAGTGAGATATTACTTTACGAGATGTACTCGCATGTAGAGATGTACAATCACTACAGCGACATGTTTTGTCTGAGAGCACCCAGAGAACAAAACACGTCACGAGGAAGTTTCCACATACAGGCTATTTACTTACGAGGCTTCAGAAGAGCTGGTGAGGTCTTCTTGTAACAGATAGATGAGTACCAAAGTAACCATTGCCTCCTACCTGTTAAAGAATTAGTCAAACCAAGGCACACTACAGCTCTCCCCAGAAGTCCTCACAATAGAAGAGCTGCAACCAAGCACACCTATATTAAAAAAATTATAGTATGTTTACAAAAGGAAAATTAGTTATTTATAATGAAGGCACATTTGTTAACATTTAACTCTCATTTTCCTATTATCAGGACTTTCCAGTAATTCCAGCAGTTTGAAAAATACTGACAATAGGTACCCGCTATTCTAGTGTTTCAAAGTTACAACTAGCAAAAAGTTGGAGTTGTACTTTAACCTTTTTAAAAAAAAGAAAAAGAAATCTGTGAAGTCAATGAACTTATGCATAAAAACGAACTTTCTCAGGTATGTCCCATTACCAACAGCTTTATCAGTCTGTATCTCAGTGGCATTCTAACCAGTAAGTGGTACTTCGTAACAGTACGTTACAATCATCCTCTCCTGTCTTCCCTGCTTGCTCTGAATCAACTGATCGTACCGTTTTTCTTGGAGTACCACCAAAGGCGTTTTGAAAGATCCAAGACACTCAAGAGCTTGCTTAACCTGTAAGTTAGGCTGCAGAGTATAATTCACAGGCATTCATGGCCCCTTACCATGATAAAAAAACCTCTTTGTAGTCCTTGGGAATTCAGGTGTATTTCCCACAATCCCAAAGGTAATCCTAATCTACTCTTACCAAACCAAGACACTGCACAGCAGCAAGGATGGAATTAGAGTAGCAAAGACCGTAACTGCTTCTCACCAGGAAGCAGACACAGGGGTGATGTCTGCGTCCCTGTAACTACATTCCACTGTTCTTTTGTGCCTTATTTTCCAGTAAATAAAACAGGCAGACATTGACTCTATCCCATTTCTTCCATCACTTCTTCAAAAGCTCCTTGCCTTCAAAGCTGCTGGTGCACATATGCACACAAACATCATCCCACCTAGCAGAGCAGACTCTTTAGTAAAGAAATACATAGGTACATTTTCAAAATAGGATTTTATTGGAAGATTACAAAAAATGTCTGAAATCTTATCAGCAAAGGCACTTCAGACTTTAGTCCCTTTTCTTTTTAGCTTTGGGTTCTTGTGACAGCTGAGATAATTCAATTTCTTCAGCTTCATTACAATGCTTTCTTTTCTTTTTCTTTAACTTTTTATGGTCACTTTGGTAACCACTAGAGTCACTGGTAGGCAATGTGTGTGCTGGTTCTTGCTTATGTTTTTTCTTTTTTTTCTTCTTGTTTTTATCATCACATATTCCATTCACAGCATCAACACTTGGCTCTTCTGCATTTTCCCTCACAGTGTTCTCCGTCTCACATAGAGACTCCTCTGTGACATTATTTCCTCCAGAGTAATTCAAGCCATTTTCCTGGTGGTCAAACTCTTGAGTTTCACCTCCATTTGTACTGCCAGTGACAGTCTCAGATTGTTTGGGACGCATGCTGTAAAGAAATATACAAAATAAGCTGAAATAGAAATATCTAAGGGCACTTCACACAGCGAAATGTCAAAATTTGCTAAAACACAGTATTTACACAAAGTAGATAAAAGATAAGCATTTGCTAAATGCAACAAACAGAGAACATAATACTCTAGTTACAGAAAATTATAAAGCCGGTTTAATCCTTTTAGCTTAATTTCTATTCCCTGACTAGCTTCCTTCTTACCACAGAATCAACATTCTCTTTCAAACCTTAGACTCAATTTCTTCACTAAAATGCTGTACATAGCATTTCAATATTTTCTCTTTTCTCCTACTCCTTCATCTGCTAATTCATAATTAAACACTGTACAGTAAACGCTTTTTTTTTTTTTTACATTATTTGCAAACATGCACAGACAATGACCTGTTTTGAATATGTACCATTTATACAATCAACAGTTCACAGGTCAGTACACGAAGATTTTTAAAAGTTAAAAAAAAATAATTGTACTTTTAAGATGTTAATTCAGATAATTTAGCTTGTAACAAACAAACAATTACAAATATACTCTAGTGCAGCAGAATACCTGCTTTTAGTGAGTCCTCCTCGAATGAAGAACACTCCAGCTGCATCAGAATCCAAGTGCAATACTTGAAATTTCAGTTCATCCCCTATTTTGAACCCCAGCTCTTGCCACTGTACAACTGACATTTGTTCAGGTTTAGGGATAGAAGCATTGAAGCATCCATGTATCAGGCAGCCAATGTGACTAGGGGCCACTTTATTAATTATACCCTAAAAAAGAAAAAGAATGTCATATGAAGCTATAGTAAAGATCATCACTTTAAACACACACGATACACATTTAGTTTCCTATATGGCCACTTTTTGACAAGACTTCATATGCACAAGTGTCCTGGTTTTGCTAGGGTAGAGTTAATTTTCTTTCTTTTTAGTAATTAGAAGAGTAGTATTTTACTTTCAGTGTTTCAGTTCAGACTTATCACAAGAAGAACGCTGATAAAGTACCAATGTTTTTAGTTACTGCTGTAGCTCAAGGCCACAGTGTTTGCTTCACAGCTGCATTAGGACTGGGAGGGGGGAAGCGCAGTGAGGAGCAAAACCCAAAACTGGCATCTGGTTGTGCCAATGAGATATTCCATATCATATCACGTCATGCCAGTATATTAACCAGGGGTGACCGGAAGACAGAGCACTTCTCTCGGGGATCGCTCGGGCTCACTCTTCCGGGGTTTCGGTTCGGGACCGTCTCGGCTCCGGGATCGTTAGCTGGCCCAGGCCGGGGC